GAGTGACAAACAGCTGCACAGTGCCTGCTGGACCCCTGGAGCCCAGTTTGGCCTGGGAGGGAGGAGAGGGATATAGCTCTGGGGATGAGGACAAGGATGGAGTACAGTGGTGGCGGTGCCTTGGGTGGGGACGTTTCTGTCTCTGGCTGAAGCGGCACACAAGATTCTCCAGGCCTCCCGCCAGGTCCCCAGGGATTGGCATGTCCCTTCTGTAGCATGGCTGCCTCAGTCTCCCCTCTGGGCTTGAATGTGAATTGGGGGTTCAGGGCCCCGATGCCTACATGCAGATTAACACAACTATGAAGGTCCTTGCTCCACTCAGGAGACTGAGGCAGGAGGATCACTTCCAGGGACCTTGTCACTCTTCTTAACCCTTTCATTCCTCCCACTGCCTTCAAATGCATCTGGGCAGGGTCCTTTTCCTGTGGGGTGTGGAGGGCATTTCGTGTGCCGGGGACAGACACCACTTCAGCTCCCCAGGAGGTCACCTGAGTGGTCAGCGCATCCTGCTGAGGACCAAGGGTCCCTGCTCGGCCTGGCTGGCTCAGGCTGTCCCTGGGGCCACCCCGGGGCTGTGGCTCTGAGAGGGACGAGGGGATTTCACAGCTGTGAGTCTGGAGGACTAGGGCTGGGGGTGGGGGCAGTTCTTGAGGCTCAGCCCAGCAGCCCTTGTCCCAAGCCCTGCTGTCCCCTGGGTAAAGCCTGGGCCAGGGCTCAGGGCAGGAGGCCGTAAGTATGCAGGACGCCTGATGCCTGGTCACACGGGAGGCTGCTATTGGCCCCTTCCACCACCTCCTCCTTCCAGCCCCCCAGCCATGGGGTCCAGGGTGCTCGGTCCCCAGGGACTAACAAGGACAGTCCAGGAAGGAGGAGGCAGGCTGGTGGGTTGGCACAGTGGCAGTTGTCACTGTGGTCACACACAGTAATCAGGGAAGGAGGGAGGAGCAGGATGGCAGGGGGACCTGTGCTTGGCCCGGGGTCTGAGGGCTTGGGGCCCTGGCTCAGCCCCAGCTTCTCTCCTGCCCCACCCGTTTCCCGTTACCCAGGCTGCACCTGCAGCCACCGAGGGGTGGAGCTTCAAACCCTGTCACTGGCAGCTTCCCACCACAGCTTCCTGTCCCAGAGCCTAGGGTCACCCCTTCCTCTGGTCCCAGAGTCCCAGGACAACCCTGCCCCACCTGGTCCTGCTCCCCATCCTGGTGGATGGCCAGGAGCAGAGCTGTGTGGGGGCCACCACACAGAGGTGCTGCTTGGACAGAAGTGTGGAAGGCACTTGGAAGGAAGGCCGATGACACAGCCAGCTGGGGTGGAGGGCTGAGGAGCTGGGACACAGTGCAGGCAGGAGGGAGCTTGAAAGCCTTGGGCGAAGAACTGCCCTGGAGTGGAGCAGCTTGCAGACCCCAGAGCTCAGCTGAGTGGAAACTGGCAGGGGAGAGGGGTTCAGCCAGCCACAGGTGCTGTGTGAGTTAGATTTGGATCTCGGGTCATATTAATAGAAACAGTTGGTGGAGATCAAAGCACAAACTGATCTCAGGCGAGAGATCTGGGCTGGCAGGGAGCTGGGTGTGGAGCTGGGTAGCTACAGGCAGGATGATCCCCGGAGGGGCCTGGCCAGGAGGACAGAGGCCGATCGGGAAGAATCAGCAGGAGCAGGCCTTGGGCGACTGCTCAGGACCAGAGAGATCTGTGAGACTGAAGCGGAGAGGGCAGTTGCTGTGTCCCCTTCCCTTGGGGACCTGGCATCAAGGAGGTGGAGATAGCAGTGCTGAGGAGCAGCTGGGGGTGCAGTGTAGACTGTGGCTGGATGAGAGCTGGGCTGGAGTCAGGGAAGTGGCAAGAGTGTAGACAGACAGCCCTCAGTGCACATCCTGTTCACTAATGATGTCTCCATGCCTGACTGCTTGTGAGGCCCAGCCTCTCTGCCTTAGTTAAAAATGAGGCATAGGGCCAGGGATTTAGCTCAGTGGTTCCGCCACCTGCCTTGCAAGTGCAAGGTCCCAAGTTTGATCCCCAGTACCAAAACAAAAAAACTTAAAAAAAAATATATCACTCGCAATGATTTTTGTACACTTAGTGAAAAATCCTGAGACTCAATGAATGCTTACAGCTGAGAAACTGCCACCTCCAGCAAGCTGTAGACTACCGTTAGTCTTCACTTTTCCGGTGGGGTTTAATTTTTGTCAAGGAGCCTCAGCGAGGTGGCCCAGCCTGCAACCCCAGCATAGGAGGGTGAGGTAGGAGGACAGCCAGTTTGAGACCAACCTGGGTGACACAGCAAGTTCAAGGCCAAAAGACCTGGTCCAAAAAACAAGATGTGGATCAGGCCTAATCCCCTCATGCCCTTTGTAGCCCGAGCATCCCGGTCCACCTGGTGAGCACCTGCCTGAGTTCTGAATGGAGATGGAGTCTGGCTTCTTAGGCACCAGGGCACCTACATTCCACCTGCTTTTTTTTTTTTTTTGGTACCGGGGATCGAACTCGGGTTCTTGCGCTTGCTGGGCAGGCGGTGGAACCACTGAGCTAAATCCCCGGGCCTCCAACCGCTTTCTTGCTGAGTACAGTTCTGTCCTAGGTGGGTACCAACACTCACTTCCTTATCTCCTTAAAAATATGTATGCTGTTCCCAGTGATGTCTGTCATGAGTGGATATGCGCTCCACGTTCTGTGTGGGATTGTGTGCATTTAAGTTGTTGTTTCTCTAGGGTGAACACTTAGGAGTGCTTGTGACTCATTTTAAACAGTCTTACGGCATGGGCCTTTAGTTTTTTATGTTTGTTTTTGAGACAGGGTCTTGCTATGTAGCCCAGGCTGGCCTTGAACTCCTGGTGATCCTCCTGGCTCAGTCTCCTGAGTTCTGGGATTGCAGGTGTGCACCACCATGCCTGGTTAAAAATGATTCTTTTCAAACACTGTTCTCTAGGTGGGGACAGGAATTTAGTCCCATATTGTCCCCTGGAGTACCTGCTTGCTTGTAGCTGTTGGGACATCCAGGATCCCCCTTCAGCCTGGCTCTCCCCAGCCCAGGGTCAAGAGCTACCTGGTCAGAGCCAGTGTTAGAGCCACCTGGCCCCTTCCCAGTGCCTGACCCAGCCTTGCCTCCCCTGGTCCCCATGCCAGTGTCTTCCTCTGTGTCATCCCAGCTTGTCCCCAATGCCCAGGGTGGAGGCAGCAGTGTTTCTCAACCCACAAACACTTCCTAGCCCTTCTGTCCACTTTCATAATTAAGAGGATGCTGAGGACCCCACCCCAGGCCCATTTGTGGCCAGTGGCCTTGCTGGGCCACCTTAATGGAGAACCAACCAGCCACTGCTGCGGGCAGATGATTTTTTCCAACATTCCCTAAAAGACTTTGTAAACATAGAAAGAGGAAACCCACAGCCCTTGGGCTCTCTGGTCCCCATTTGGTTCATTTGTCCACACAGCTTCTCCTTACAATCCACAGTGTTGGTATCTGAATTCACCTACTTGCTAGAATGTATTCATAATCCCCAAACAACTAGGTCTTTTCAGTCATTTGTAGACCACGGAGTGCAGAATAACGTGGGTCACCAATATGCATGTCCCCACTGATGCTGAATAGTGGGGACCCTGGCTTCTCTCATCCTATAAGTTGGTGCCTTTTTCTTTCTGCAAATTTGTGCTTCTTGTTAGTGATTTCACGGTCTGAAGTGGCTCTGAGCAGCATGCGGGAGTGCTGTTGGGGGACCCTCAGTGCAGGGGGGTGCAGACCCAAGCAACATAGCTCCAATGCCTCGGGCCACAGCTCCTGTGTTCATGGACTGCTTTCTAGCATGGTGCAGGCCTGGTGTTCGTTCAGCAGGTGTCTACCACTGAGCTGCAGCCCCAGCCCCTTACTGTGCATATTAAATAAGGTTCCTTGAGCTGGGTGCGCAGGCATGTGCCTGCAATCCCAGATACTTGGGAGGCTGAGGCAGGAGGGTCATAAGTCTGAGGGCAGTCTAAGACAACTTAGCAAAACCCTGTCTCCAAACAAAAAGTGTTGTGAAACAGAAACACACAAAAAATAATGTTACATATTCATTACTTGATGAAACTGTTGTAACCAGAGTCTTGCAGGAACCTGAATCTGTATTTCCTCTAGAAGCAATGGTCTAGCATTTGCTAATTGAGCATTTGATTTTAAAAACAGAACTGTGAATAACAAGAATAAACTGTCTATGCACTTCCTGCTACCCGTCAGTGTTATTTTTTGGATAACCTTCAAAATAAAGAATAGTTGGCAGCACCCATAACACCTACATTCTGCATGCAGATCATTAACCAGGGCTCCATATTTTAAGGTTCTTTTAATTGGGGGCGATGCATACAGTGAGACAGACAAGCCTTAGCGTACACTCTCTGAGTTTTGATTAATATAGGCCCCTGTATGGTCCAATCCCTAAGATACAGGGCATCACAACTGTCTCAGAAAGTCTAGGCTACACAATTTAAAATGACCTGCATGACCACATTATTTATGTATCCATCCATCCTCCTCCAGACTGAGGGGAAGTTGGTGGAAGGGCCCAGAAGGAAGTGGACAAGGTTCCTCTCTGTCCCAGGGCCTTTGCACTTGCTGTTCCCTCAGCTTGATGTGCCCTCCCTGGGGTCTATGAAATTCTGGCTCCTCCTCCTTCTTCTGATCTTGGCTCAAATACTACCTCTTGAGAGAAGGTGACCATCCTAGCTCAAAGGACCTCTTCCCTCTCTTAAAACCACTCTCTCTCCTTTGGAAGCCTGACCTTCATGTGCAATGATTAAGTTTGTCCCTCTCTTTGTTTCCTGTGTCTCCCATCCTGAGTTTTTTCTGCAGGCCAGCGGGCAGGGTCACTGTCTGCCTTCTGCATCTAAATACTCAGCAGGCGGTGGGCCCCACAGTAATAATCTAACACCCGTGTTTGGGGGGACAGCTGGGACCCGGGGGGCTGCTGTCCACCCGACCTGGCGCCACACAGGCCCTGATCGTAGCCCTCTGCCCCGCAGGCGGCCAGGCGCTGGCCATGCCGGACCCCGCGGCGCACCTGCCCTTCTTCTACGGCAGCATCTCGCGCGCCGAGGCCGAGGAGCACCTGAAGCTGGCGGGCATGGCCGATGGGCTCTTCCTGCTGCGCCAGTGCCTGCGCTCGCTGGGCGGCTACGTGCTGTCGCTGGTACACGATGTGCGCTTCCACCACTTCCCTGTCGAGCGCCAGCTGAACGGCACCTACGCCATCGCGGGCGGCCGCGCTCACTGCGGCCCCGCCGAGCTCTGCGAGTTCTACTCTCGCGACGCCGACGGGCTGCCCTGCGCTCTGCGCCGCCCGTGCAACCGGCCGGCTGGGCTCGAGCCGCAGCCGGGCGTCTTCGACAGCCTGCGCGACGCCATGGTGCGTGACTACGTGCGCCAGACCTGGAAGCTGGAGGTGAGTGCGGCGGCCGGGCGGGGTGGGTGCCCGTGGGGTGCACCATGGGCCGGGGGCCCTGGGAAAGCTGGGGGAGGCCCGGGGACGGAGGGGTCCGGGCCCTGCATCTGGCCACCCCCGCAGCACCCCTCGCTCCTCTTTCCTCAGGGCGAGGCGCTGGAGCAGGCCATCCTGAGCCAGGCGCCCCAGGTGGAGAAGCTCATCGCCACTACAGCCCACGAGCGGATGCCCTGGTACCACAGCGGCCTGACGCGCGAGGAGGCTGAGCGCAAGCTCTACTCGGGCGCGCAGACCGACGGCAAGTTCCTGTATGTGGGCCTGGGGTGGGGTGGGGTGGGGGACTGGGCACACCCGGTGTGCAGGTGGGTGTGAGCAGTGTGCCTGTGCGCACATGTACAAGTGGGTTGTGCAGTTCTGGTGTGCAAAAGGAATCCCCCTCCCCTCCCCCCTCCTCTTGAGGTATTAGGGATTAAACCCAAGGCCTTTGCACGGAACTGCATCCCCAGCCCTCCCCACCCATCCCCTCCCTTCTCCTCCCCTGATTTTTTTTTTGGTACAGGGGATCGAACTCCCGACCTTGTGCTTGCAAGGCAAGCGTGGTGCCATGCTTTCGAGGCAGTCATGGCTCCACTGAGTTACATCCTCGGTGCAGGCTACAATTTTTGATCCTCTTGCCTCAGCCTCCCAGAGTGCTGGCATTATAGGAGTGGGCCACCAGGGACTTCTATATAGGACCCTAGCAATGAGTAGGGGTGAATCCAGAGATGGTTCGCCTGGGTGGGAACCCAGCTTCTGCCACTTTCCGGCTGTGGGCTTGGGGATGTGGCCGAATTTCTGCCAGCCTCCGTTTCCTCACCTCCATTTGACCAGTATGTACAAAATACCTACTGGGTACAGGCACTGAGGACCTGGCTGAGATCCAGATACTCGTGCCTGTTCTTGTGGGGCAGACAAAAGAGGACAGCTGATAAAATCCAGACCATGTCAGGTGGTGCTGCGTGCTGTATGTGGGTGGGGAGGGTCGGTGTCACGGCCCGGCCCCCTAGGCCTTCCCAAGGGAGGACCCGGAGGGGGCGGGGCCAGAGTGGGGCTTGGGGCGGGGCTCAGTGATAGGAGCTTCTGCCAGGCGCTGGGTGTCATTTCTGCACTGCCATTGCCTAATACTTTTTTGTAAATAAAGTAGAATTTGTGGCATTGAAATGTATGTAGTCAGAAAACCAATGTCTTAGCCTGTGAATTTATCCAGGAATTAGTGGCTGCTCTTGTATGAACCCATGTGCCTCTTTCCAAAGAGAGTGTATCAGTTAGCATTTGCTACATAACAAACTACAATAACACAAAACAGTTTTTGAAAATAGCTATGTATTTTCTCTTGGCAGTCTGGGCTGAGTTTAGCAGGCCGGTTCTTCTGTGCTCTATGAGCTTGGTCCTGTGGCTTCAGTCCACCGGGAGGGTGTCCAGGGCTGGACAGTCCAGGATGGCTTCATTCCTGAGTCTACAGGGGCCAGGCTGAGGGCTGGGTTCCCCCTGTGTGGCCCCTCTAGCTGGCTGGCTTGGACTCATTTCCACAGTGGGCGCAGCCTTGCCAAGAAAAGTGAGAGACCTGGCAGGGCTCCACAGTGACCATAGTGAACAAGCTGTTTATGTTGTGCTTGTACTAAAACCAGCCCAGGGTGGAACCGATTCAGCAGCTAGAGAAGCTGTAGACACCATTGTGATCTACGACCATACCACCCTGAATGAACGCCCTGATCTTGTCTGATCTTGGAAGGGTCTTGTCTGATCAGGCAGGGTCTGGCCTGGTCAGTACTTGGATGGGAGACACCATTATGGATGGCAAGAGCTGCCTATCGGGAAGAGGCTGCTTCCCTCCACCCACTATTGTATACATGTGTTTGTTGGTGAGTAGTTCGGCACTGAGTTTCTTATGTCTGTTTAAAACTTAAGATTATGGCTGGATATGGTGGTGCATACCTGTAAACCCAGTGGTCTGGGAGGCTGAGGCAGGAGAATTGCAGGTTTGAGCCCAGACTGGGCAATTTAGCAACTTAAGTCTCTTGCTGCCGCCCTTGGTGTCTGCCTCTCTCTGTACCCCTGGGCTGTCATGGACTGTATTGTCTTTCCCTGTGCTGTTGTCTGGGCATGGATGGAACAGTCATAGCCATCCTTCTGTCCCCCTCTCTGCTCTGTTGTGGTGTAGGGGACAGTGCCTTGGTCCTTTGCCCTAAGGAAAGCCCTGCTGGCAAGGTGGGCTCCCCTCTGTCTCACTTACAGCCATATCCTTGCTGTGGTCATAAATATTCTGCCATGAACGGAGGTGCACTGGTGGGGCCCACGCCCTGCCTGAGTAGCTGTGTAATCACACCTTGGGGACTCTGCTCGTGGGGAACCCAGTAGCCAGCTCCCTGTCACTCGGCACAGTCCCTGGTTAGGTACTGTGCTTTCTGTAGCTCTGAGACCCCGGGACCAGCTGGCCTTTCTCCTCCAGTGGGAATCTGCGTGTAGCCTGAAGCACTTGACCTGGTCCTGGACCCAGAGTCCCAGCTTGGTGGAGTTGGTGATGGCTTTACCACGGGGCTTCATGTGAGAGTACTGGTATCTGGCTCTCAGCTGGCCTGGGTGTGTGTGCTTAAGCATGTGTGTGTCATGGCGATTGGTGGACAGGCTCTTCTTGTATCAGCTGTGAGTCCCATCACAGATGTGGAAGGTTTGTACCTAGGTTTATTTTGATGAGTGTCCAGCAGAGGGCATTCAAGGGCTGCATTCTCTCCCAGCCAGTCTGTTTTCAAAATGTCCTGAACTGTGTGGAGGATGTGACTTGCAGGAGGGGGCCTGGAAGGGGTCTCAGTTGGGGTCCCTGGGTGGGTCCGTGTGGAAATGGCTTTCTGTATCCAGGAGGTTGGTTGAGTGTCTGTGGAAGGCCGAATGTCTCCTTGAAGAGGAGCTTGCTGTAGATGGCCCCGTGCTTGGCCAGCTGTCCCCTGTGGGTGACTGAGTGTCCCCCAGTGGATGGCAAGTATCTGGCCATGAGCAGCCATGCATTCAGCCATGGGGGACCGGGTGGCCCCGTAAGCCTGTGGAGGAGCAGGAGGAGTGAATGGCTGCGTGTCCATGTGGGGTGTCAGTGTTTGCCTGTGAAGGGCCACAGGTCTGACGCTGGAGAGCCGTGTGTGTCCCCCACAAACCCGGCTATTGCCCTCTGTCTGCTCCCTGATGACATGTCACCAGTGTTACCAGGAGTGGTGGTTGAGGGACATCTGACCTGGGCTTCTCCGGTCCCTGCCACTCTCCATGAAGCTTAGGGGTGGAGCCTGGGGACCCTGAGGAGCAGAAGGACCAGGTGGCCACAGAGATGACAGCTTCCTTGCCCTGCAGGCTGAGGCCCCGGAAGGAGCAGGGCACCTACGCACTGTCCCTGATCTATGGGAAAACCGTGTATCACTACCTCGTTAGCCAGGACAAGGCTGGCAAGTACTGCATCCCTGAGGGCACCAAGTTTGACACGCTGTGGCAGGTAGAGGCCAAGCACCTCTTCTGGGGGGACACAGGGACAGGGTGCCCAGGGTCTGGCCTGACTCCTGCTCCCACAGCTGGTGGAGTACCTGAAGCTGAAGGCCGATGGGCTCATCTCCTCCCTGAAGGAGGCCTGCCCCAACACCAGCGCAGAGGGTGAGCATGGGGGACATGCGGCAGGGCGGGGTAGGGACAGGGGCAGGTGGCCCCGTGCCCACACTGTCCCTTCTGCTCCCTCAGGGGCCACCGCTCCCACGCTCCCTGCCCACCCATCCACATTCATCCACGTGAGTCGGGGCCTGTCAGCACTGGGGCTGGGTGCACCGTTGGCAGCTGGGGGTGTGTGGAGGGGCAGAGGGTTCCCCACATGTGGCTGGGAGCCTGGCTCATTGTCCTTGGTCCTGTGACCTTTAGCCTCAGAGACGGGGGGACACCCTCAACTCGGATGGATACACCCCGGAACCAGGTGAGCTGGCTGGGCTGCAGGTGGGGGCCTTGTGGCCGGCTAAGCGCTGGTCTCTGGGCACTGTGGCACTGTGGGGCTTGGGCGGGGAGGATGAGGCAGGTGCCTGCCCGTGTGCACATCCTGGGGTGGACACTTGGGAGTGTATATACCTGCATACACCCGGACATGCACACCTGTGAACACTCATGTGCACCTGTGTGCCCAGCGCGCCCGGCCCCCGCAGACAAGTCGCGGCCAATGCCTATGGACACGAGCGTGTACGAGAGTCCCTACAGCGACCCCGAGGAGCTCAAGGACAAGAAGCTCTTCCTGAAGCGCGAGAACCTGCTGGTGGCTGACATTGAACTTGGCTGCGGCAACTTTGGCTCAGTGCGCCAGGGTGTCTACCGCATGCGCAAGTAGGACTGCCTGTGTCAGGGGTTGGGGTGGGGGGGATGTGGGTGGGAGCTGGGGGGTGTCTGGAGAGCGACAGGGTGTGCCAGAGGGGCCCTGGAAAGCTGGGGACACAGGAGAGGGAGTGAGATGACTCGGGCCTGGGCAGGGGGCGCTTTGGCGTGGCATCTGTGGCAGAGGCCTAGGCCTGCCCGGGAGTGGTTACAGCTGGGGGTTGTGTTGGCTGCGGGTCTCCGCCGTGGGGCCGGGGGGGGGCACTTTCCTCAGCGTTGCCTGGGGGTGGGGCAGTGAGTGCTGCCAGGCAGGGGTTGAGCCTGCACGTCACTGCGGCTGGCTCAGCTCGGTGAGGATGGTGGGCGCGGGCTGTCTGGTTCAGGCGCCACCTTCTGGGCAGGAAGCAGATTGATGTGGCCATCAAGGTGCTGAAGCAGAGCACAGAGAAGGCGGACAAGGACGAGATGATGCGGGAGGCGCAGATCATGCACCAGCTGGACAACCCCTACATCGTGCGGCTCATTGGCGTGTGCCAGGCCGAGGCGCTCATGCTGGTCATGGAGATGGCAGGCGGCGGGCCACTGCACAAGTTCCTGGTTGGGAAGAAGTGAGCCTGGGTTGGAGGGCTCGGGGCCACGACACGCCCTCCCTGACACCTGACCCTGACCCCTGCACCTTGCTAGAGTGCTGCTGGCCCTCCGAGTTGGCACCTTGGTGGTGCCAACAGGACCCACCCAAGTGGCTCTTGTGAGTCAGTCCCTGGAAAGCGTGTCCAAAATTTCTGGCTCACCTGGCGAGAGCTTTACAGACAGGAGCCATATACAGTCGCTGCTGCCCAGGTTCTCCAGGCTAAGTTCATGACCGTGGGAAATTGCTCATGATCACTTCAGTGACCATTAGCGGGGGCAGCAGATAGCAGCCTGGGCTTGCTTTTTTATTGCATGTTTTATATTTTTAAAGGGTTAAATGTGAAACAAAACCAGCAGAGTAGGTGACAGAGGCCATAGGTTGGCAGAAACTGCAAAGTGTACTCTCTGGCCCTGGGTGAAAATGTTTGCAGGTTCATCTGTGCCTCCTTGTGCTCTGCTTGCACACTCTGGTGTACTTCTGGTGATCTGCAGACTCTTGCACACGGCCACACATGCCTTCCCCATGAGTGCCTGGCCATGCCTTCAGTCACTGGACAAGGGTTTGCTGGGCTTTGCCCCTGGGAGTGGGGCTGCTGTCTCCTCCTGACCCCCTCATCCTCCCCAGGGAGGAGATCCCCGTGAGCAATGTGGCCGAGCTTCTGCACCAGGTGTCCATGGGGATGAAGTACCTGGAGGAGAAGAACTTCGTGCACCGAGACCTGGCGGCCCGAAATGTCCTGCTGGTCAACCGGCACTATGCCAAGATTAGTGACTTCGGCCTCTCCAAGGCCTTGGGTGCTGATGACAGCTACTACACTGTGAGCCCCTGCCCCTGTGGTGCCCAGGTATGTGGGCTCAGCAGGCAGAGGGTCCCAGAGTCCTTGAGTCCTAGCCACGTTTCCTCTACCCCAGGCCCGCTCAGCAGGGAAGTGGCCCCTCAAGTGGTATGCGCCCGAGTGCATCAACTTCCGCAAGTTCTCCAGCCGCAGTGATGTGTGGAGCTATGGTGTTACCATGTGGGAGGCCTTCTCCTACGGCCAGAAGCCCTACAAGGCAGGCAGGCGGGAATAGGTGGGGATGAGGGCAGGGACAGAGGGGAGCAGGCAGGCATCCGTCACTCACACTGCCCTGGCTCTCGCTCAGTAGAAGATGAAGGGTCCCGAGGTGCTGGACTTCATCAAGCAGGGCAAGCGGATGGAGTGCCCGCCCGAGTGCCCGCCTCAGATGTATGCGCTCATGAGCGACTGCTGGATCTACAAGTGAGTGCCTGGTGGGGGACCCTGTCAGAACCATGCCTGGTCCCAGTGCCCATCCATCAGCATCACCATGACTCTCCCCAGTGTCATCCCATGCAGAGGTCTGTGACCAGTCCACAGCCTCTCTGACACCCCTGGGACTTGTACCCCAACTGTGGACCTTAGCCCCTCACCTGCCACCACTTAGCACACGGAGCTTGCAGTCCCCAGACAGATCCGCTTTGCCACCCAGCATGCACCCCACTTCTCTGGGCAGGGGACAGTGCCCTAGTACCTAATCCCTCGGCCTCCACCAGCCAGCACTCTGCACCTGGGTACCCAGCTAGGCCAACTCTGAGGGACCCAGGTGCTCAGCATATTCAACCCCAGTCCGGGCACCATCAACATCCCACCGCCCATCCAGCCACACACAGTGTTGCCCAGCACTGGCTCCTAGGGTTTGCAGTTGTTGCTCTGATATCCGGGGACTCAGTTCTCCCAGTGGCCTGCCTGTCAGGAACACTAGGATTCCAGGGCCCTCACCCCAACACCATTCCATTACCCAGCAGTCCCCCCACCTAGTGGCCCCATAAATCCACCATAGCAAGACCCGTGCAAGCCCCCTTTGGGCTGAAGCTGGGGTCTGGCTGTGGTCAGTGCTGGGTCTGTACCCCCACAGGTGGGAGGACCGCCCTGACTTCCAGACAGTGGAGCAGCGCATGCGGACCTATTACTACAGCCTGGCAAGCAGGGCTGAGGGCTCCTCACAGTCTGCACAGGGTGCCGAGGCAGCGTGTGCCTGAGCCCTGGCTGCATGGAGTCTGGGACCCCAGGCCGACCTTTGTCCTCTGCTCAGGCTCCCCGGTCCTTTGGGCCTGGGGCAGGTGGGCTGAAGCAGGCTAGTCCTGGGCAGAGGGGCTGCCTCAGAACTCTCTCCCTCTGGACTCTCTGGCCCTGAGGGGGAAGGCTAGAGTCTGGGGCTGTCCAGGCTTCAATCATTGGAATAAACTCAGCTTTTCTCTTGCCTGAGCCTCTCATCTTTCTGGTGAGGCAGACCGGATGGGGGTGGTCACTGGAAGGAGTGGCTGAGAAGCACCCCAAAGTGACTTTCCTCCTATGAGAAAGATGGAGGGCAGAGCGGGGAAACTGAGGCCAAATGTGTGGGCCCAAAGGGGTGTGTGCACTGCCTCAGTTTCCCTGAGTCACCCAGCTGCCTGCTCAGTTGCTCCCGCTTTCTTCCTTGGTCCTCATCACAGCTTTGGTCTTTGTCACCTGCTGCCCCAAGTGTCAGCTCAGCCCTGTTCAGAACAGTCAAGTCTTGCTGCCTCAGTTTCCCCAAATGGGAAATTGGGTTGTTGGAGGGCAGAACCCAACAGAAGGGTGAAGGACAGCCAGGACCCTGCATTGCTTTTCTGAGCGTGCCCCCTCCCAAGTTGAGAAGGGCTCTATTCCCAGTTCCCAGCCAATGCCTCATTCTCATGGCCGAGCGATTGGTCCAGGGGACAGCATGTGACACACCAGCAGCCAGTGAGAGGCAAGAAACTTCACTGGGGATCCTGGGAAGGCAGATCTCCTTTTTGTGTTGTGAAACCAGGAGACCTGGAAGCCTGAGCTGTTTTGTGGGACCACAGGGGAGGGATGGGGGACAGAGCTTGAGGCCCAGGTGGGAGGCTGCAGAGAGGAGACCCTGAGCCTTGGGGACATGTGGATACATTGTGAAGCCAGGAGGTCAACCCAGGATAGACCTTATTTTGACCTCACCATTTATTATTGGGTTTTAATAATTCAAATGTCAACTTAGCAGCTTTTATTACTTTTCTTTTTTGTTTTCTCGGTACTGGGGATCGAACTCAGGACCTTCTTTGTGCTTGCAAGGCAGGCACGGTGCCACTGAGCTAAATCCCTGGCCCTGTTACTTTTCTTTCAGTGACCTTTGTGTTCTCTGTGGAAGCCTATTACCAGTGCCCCAGTTCTGGGGTATAGGGCAGGAAGGGACAGACCCCGCTGTGTGCACCTTGGTGTCAGGGATGCCCTGGGGTTTTCTGAGGGTCTGTGGACCCCGCCAGACCTGGCTTCCTGGGTCATAGTCAGACCTCAGGGCACAGCTAATTGCAGACAAAGACATAAGAGCTCGAACTGCTTTGGGCTGACATTCTTTGTGACCTCTTGGCGATTTTGTGTGTTTAAAATTTAATATACCAGTGCCTCAATATTAAATGCAAGCATTGTTTTTTTTGTTTTTTTTTGGTACCAGGGATCAAACTTGGGTCCTTGGGCTTGCACAGCAGGCGGCGAAACCACTGAGCTAAATCCCTGGCCCTCAAGTATTGTTTTTTGAATGACTTGTCTTTAATAAATAAAGGAAAGTCACATCAGTGGTGTGACGATGGCTTCCTGAATTCTGTTTGCAGATCAGTTTTATTAAAGTTCACTTGCTACTGGATAATGATTTGACTTTCCTTTCTTTTATGTTAATTATCATTAGTTCTGTTTCCTGTTTATTGCTGAAAACAATATGACTTCATAGGAAGTGATTCACTCTGGATATCAAAATATTTCACTGTGAACCTAGGGGTATCTCAATGCCACAAATGGACCGATGAAACAGGGTGCAGTTCCACCACATGACTACAAGGTGACGGTGCCGCCAATCCCAGGCCTGCTCAGTTTCTCGAACCTGCCCTAGGTCTGGACATCTGGCCAGCCTGGAGCCGACCCGAGAATCCTCCCTGACCTCCAGGCCCGATCCTGTCCACTGCAAGGTGTTCACACCGCAGGCTCATTCCTACCAAGCAGCTCCAGGTCCCTAGACTCCCATGCTGCTTCTCACCTCCTTTACTGCCACCTCTGTGGGGAACACATCCCACCGTGATGGCCCATAGTTGCTGGGAAGCTGCCACAGATTGAGCCCCAATTTCCCCTGGGGCGAGTTCTTCAATCCGTTCAGTTGGCTGGGAAGAGATAGTAAATCCAGGTCAAGGAACCAGGAGATCTGAATGGTGGCGGGGAGCACGGAAGGTGCTTGCGTAGGAGACTTCTGGGGATGCAGAGGGAAAGTCTCCCCTTCCCTCTGCCTGGGGAGATGGAGGAGTGGACGGCTCTGGCCTTTGCTTGGCTCAGGCCCCCTCCACCAATCCCCAGGGACTGGGCTAGTGGCTCTTCCTGCTCTCTGTACCCTCCCTGGGTACTCTGTGAGCCAGCCCCTGGAGCCTGGTCCTTGGCAGACACAGGTTGGGGCATGGTGGGGGCAGCCCTGGAGGAGAAGCCATGAGCTGCAGGTTGGAAGGGAGCCGGCTGTCTCCTTTAAAACACATGGGAGCAGAGTGTGGTAGTGCACACCAGTAATCCCACCACTCAGGAGGCTGAGGCAGGAGTATTACCACAAATTCAAGGCCAGCATGGGCTACATAGTGAGACTCTGTTTCAACAAACAATAAATAAACACTGGTGACCAAGAGGCTGATGTGACCCAGGTGGGTTCTCTGGGACAGGGTGACAGGAGGGAAGGCTTGTGCACAGGGCCAGAGCCAGCTGGGCTCTGGGACATTCAGGAAGCCAGGGCTATTCAGGGACCCTACCCCTCCAGCCCTCACCTGGCGTCTCCCCACCCCTCTGGTCTCTTCCCCACTCTAGGGCACCCCTGTCCTTGTCTGTCCTCAACAGCTTCCTCCTCCGCTGGTCTCCCTGTCTCCAGCTCTCTCCAAATCCCTGTCCTGCCCTTATCTGTCCATCCGTCTGTGGTCCCACATGCCCCCCATCCTGGGCAGAAGAGCTGCCTCTCACCCTGTGGCTCTGTCCCCTGACACTAGATGCCCTATGGGACAGGAGGACACCAGACCCCAAGACTGAGCCTGTCTGGGGGTTCTGGCTGCAGCTACCTGCTGCCCCTTTTCTGTCTCCCCTGCCTTCCCATCCACAGACTCATGATCTCCCTGCCTCACTTCTGTGGGTATCACCCTGTGCCCTGCAATGTTCCCCATGGTACAGCTGCCAATGCCACCTGTGCCCAGGGTGCCGCTTCTCTCCCTGCCTGGCAGGGGACCCAACCTGGGCCCCTCCCCAAAGGCCCTGTCACTATCACTTTTGTGCAGCCACCTGCCAGGACTCGGGGTGCCTGTCATGGCCTCAAAGGGCAGGGCTTTAGGGGCAGTAGCGGCGGAGGGGAGCCTCCCCTGGGGCAGGGCCATCAGGGTCATGTCCCGCAGGCTCAGTTGTTACAGCGCTCTGGGTGCTGCCCTGTGGGTGTCCTCGGGGCTGGCACCATGGCTGCAGGGTAGCCTTGTTGCTGTGTGACCCTGCTCAGGGGCCACGACAGTTGGGCTGGGACGATCTGCTGGTGCTGTCAGTGACTGTCAGCCAGCTTTGTTGCTGTGACAAAATACCAGGGAAAATCAACTTACAGGAGGAAAGGTGGATTCTGGCTTGGAGGTTTCAGTCCTCGGCTCCACAGCATCTGGGCTGGTGGAGGCTCACATGGTGGCGGGAGGGCTAGTGGAGTGAAGCTGCCCTGCTCACAGTGACAGGAAGCAGAGAGCCTGGGACAAGAACACCTTCCAGGGCACTCTGGGTGATTTCTTCCTCCCCAGACCCCACCTCCTGCAGTCTCCATCACCTCCCATGAGGCCATTGCATAAACCTGCCCAAAGGCTGACCCTTGGATGAGGTGGCAGCTTGTGCCCCAGTCACCTCCAGAGGCCCCTCCCAGAACCCTGCTGGCCAGGACTGAGCCTTTGGAACACAGGCTTGGGCACCATTTGGACCCAAACCACAGTGCCTGTCTCAGGCAGTACATGCTGGCAGATGCTGGCACTGCTCCCTGGAGCCTGGGGGCTGCATGGTGTGGAGTCTGGGTACAGTTGGTGGTAATCGTTCCTCTGGGCTCTGCCTCCTGTTCAGCTTTGGCTCCTGGTCTGTGCTCCCAGCTTTGTTACATGCCCAAGGCTTGGAACCGCTCTGACAGGAAGGGGTGCTCCCTTCTATACTAAGACCGCCTCTGGGGGCCTCCTGGATTTGCTTGGCACAGAGGGGCTGGACAGTGTGTCTCAGGGACACTCCCCTCATTTTCTTTTTCCAGAGCAGGAGATGGAACCCAGGGCCTCATAGACACCAGGAAGCACTTACCACTGGGCTGCACTCCTAGTGCTCTTCCCTTGAACTTTGAGGCTGGCCCCAACAGGCCTCAGACAGGCCTGAGGCTGTGTGTTCTGGGGACTCCAGCCATAGGGACCTTCCCTTGGCACCAAGAAAGTTGTGGGCACCAGCAGAGGGACAATTTGAGGTGTCTGGGTGGGAGAGCTCTGGTAGAGGGAATAGCCATGCGAAGGCCCAGGCCAGGGACAGACCCAGTTGGCTCAGGCACAGTGAGAGACCATCATGATGACAGCCAGCCAGGGGGTGGTGACATGGGCCTGCGGGCTCTGGGAGGGTCTGGGCCTGTACTCTGAGCCAAGTGAAACAACAACTCAAAAACAGGAAAATATCTGTGATATATCTGGTAAGAGTTGGATATCTACAACATAAAAATAACATACATCATATAAGGAACTCCTGCAACTGAATGACAAAAAAGACAACTGAAAATTGTTCAAAGGACTTGAATATATACTTCTCCAAAGAAGATACACAAATGGCCAATAAGTACATGAAAAGATGCTCATTAATGATCATTAGTCATTAAGGAAATGCAAATCAAAAAACACAAGGAAATACTATTTCACTCCTACTGGAATGGCTGTTATAACACACACACACTGACAAGTGTTGGTGAGATGTGGAAAAATGGTGACACTTGTACACTGCTGGTGGGGATGTAAAATGGGAGAGCTACTGTGGAAAACAGTTCAATGTCTCCTTACAAAACTAAACAGAACAATTCTACTTTTAAATATAAACCCCAAAAGAATTAAAAAGGATGACAGATTTTTATACATCAGTGTTCATTGCAGAATTATTGACAATAGCCCAAAGATGAGAAAAATCCAAGTCCTTCAACTGGTGAATAGATAAAATATGATAAAAACAACA